GAGGCTCAGGCACGTTGATTGGCCTTTTTCTGGTTGTTTGCCTCTGTTCGGCCTGCTGCGATCTCTCTCTCCACGGCGGTGGAGTCTTCGGTGGACCTGGTGGATCAGGTGGCGTTCTTGGCTGCTGTGAACCTAATGTTCGTCCGGGAACCGGAACTGGAGGAGCCTTTACAGGCGGCCTAGCACTAGAGGAAGATCCTGATGACGTTGGAGCTGGTGATTCTTTTAAGGATCTCGGTGCTGCTTTATATTGCACTGGTCTGGCTTTCGCTGCTGGACCTCGCACAGGTGCCGGAGGCGGTGCTGGTGTTTCAGCTCTGGGTCGATGTGTTCTGGTCCTGCTGACCGATCGACTTCGAGTGCGTCCAACATTTCGGTGTGAGTCAGTCCGCAAAGGCGGAACACTATCTCTTCTTTCTTCTCGTTTTTCGAGATATCCTTGAGTTCTCTGCATCCATTTTTCACGTCTTTTATCTTCAGATTCCTTGGATCGGATGCGCATATTTTTCAATGCCTTCAATTGGGCATAGGCAAGGAGAGGTGAGTGCCATCCACAGTCCTTTTCTGCCAAACCAAGGTCATATGCCATCAAATGTTTTAGCTGTTCAACATCGTTCAGCATAACTTCATCGGAAAAGGCAGATCCTGCAAATCCATCTGCAGAGGCGGATTCTTCTTTTGCACGTGCTTCCGTGACAGCGATCTGCTTACCGTAACAAAGAGAAATTAAAAGCATTGAATCACAATCAGCATCATCTCCACGCATGCTTCGGATGTAATCAGCGGCAGTGGTCGATGAAACTACGTTATACGTAATACGGTTTATCGGACTGCGGTGAAGATTGATCTGCTGAAGGAAACGCTCCAAAATGTCGATCAGGATGCATGTCCGGAAATCGGAATGATCATCTGCCTTAAAACTTCGCTGTGCGAAAAGATTTCCGTCACCGGACAAAAAGTCACACTGATGTTCGATACAGCTTGCGACAAATTGGAGCCATTTCTGGCACGTTTCTTTATAGGCATTACTCCATGCATATGAGGAGATATGAAAAACCGCTATACGGCATTCAGCTAACATGAGACGTCGGACGTCATGGGTGTCAGCTCCAAGATTCACTTCACAAGCTTCCACTCCGGAGACGGCAAGGTCATCATCTCCGTCGATCTCGCAGATCGAGTGATCAAGAAAATCGAGTGAGGATGCAAGTGGGCGATCATGCTGGTAAACCGTAGATTCGGCATTTTTCTCGATGTCCGGTTTCGGAACACGAGCGCCAGAAGAAGGATCAACAAATTCTCCTGACGTGTTCATGCCATGGCAAAGGCGAAAAATGGCGCCATGCAAAATCCAGAAAGGTGCATCTTTAGTGGATGTTTCAATTTGGTGTTGACATAAAAGTTCAATAAATGAGCCTGCATCATGTGAGCCACGGAGAAAAATTGCAAGGGATTGTGACTGGATGTGCGGGTGCACTACCATGCCAATCATCCCATACTCTTGCAAGTTCTCGATGGACGGCAATTCCTCCGTACTCGTCGGAAGCCTCGCACAAGCACACAATATGGGCCGCATTACGGAACACTAAATGTGGCAATGCACGGTGGTTGATATCAGTTCGTACCCATTTTGGAAATTTTGAACAACCTCCGATATACGGAAGACGGTTGATGTGACCAAGGTTCAACGTCAAGATGCCAAGCTGATACGTGTCCTTCTGAAATTCATGGATGTTGTCCTTAGTGCGCTTGGTAACACCGAGGATTGCTCTCTTACCAAGAAGGCACGATCTGAAGAGCTCCAATAAACGGAGAATCTCCTCTGACGTAAGGTCACCGCCGTCAGGGTACTTGAAGAAAGCCTCAGGTCGCCAGATCGGAAGAGGCGTCTGGTCCTGGGCATCAACAAAGTGCTCCTGGAGAGTCGGAATTCGACATCCAAATGGCATTTCATAAATAAATTCTGTATAATCAAAATCTTCAATTCCATGACGTGCAAAAGACTGAAGGTAGGTGTTTCCAATGGAGCGGCCCTCACGCAGATGCGTGATCAGTTCCGAGAATTTTTCTTGGCGGTTTTGAGCATGCTCTCGGCGTGTGGCTCCGAAATACGAAGATTCAGCAAGAACAGCGTCAACCAAGTCTTCGATATCGAAAGGCGATTTGGATGAGCCGATGCTGTCTGGAATAAAATCGGAGGACAACTCAGAGGAAAAATTAACAATGTTATGTTTGCAAGATAAGCCGCAGGTGCGGCATTCCAAGCAGTAGGCAAAGCCACAAGGGTGGCACCAGAACATTGCCTCTGAATTTCCACAGTCTTCAAAATTCTTACAGCATTGAGGACCCGCAGGGCGAGGAAACCATTGAATTTCTTCTGTATCCTTTTTAAACTTAGTGAAAAACTTTTGGGCGGCGTCCGCATCACGGAACAAATCCTTTGCCTGGGCGTTCATCTCACGGCGTCTTTTTGTCTTGATAACCTGTCGGCGGCCGCCCCAGGGAGAATTGGCATGCAGATCAACTTCAGTGTCAGGATCTATGTTGCCGGATGCTTGATCGGAGCTAGCCGCAGCGGCGGCATCCTTCGGCTTCTTTGGCATAGGCTTGGCCTTGACAGGCCCCTTGGGGGCTTCACTCTCCGAGGCGGAAGACTGCTCCTTGTTTCTTTCTTTGGCAAGATGTTGCTTAAAACGCTGGGAAATCTCTGCCTTGAGGGTTTTTACCCTTTTGTCCGCCTCTGTCTCAGGTGGGCCAAGCTCTTGGTCGTTCGGAGTTGCGCTGGTGCGCAGAGGCCTGGCCGGACCGGATTCGGTACTACGAAAACTTTCTAAGAACTTCTTTACAACAGGAAGTTTTTCGATTTCTTCTGCCACATACTCCAAATATTCGGAACGCGACCAGGTGAAACCATCTTGTTCATTTTCATTCTTTTTCTCCCAATAAAGTTGGTGGTGGCAAACATGCATTGCAAGGTCAATATTTGATGTGTAATCATTCATTCGCCTTAGCTCGGCCGGTTCCGGTGCAACAAGCCAGGAGCGATCAACGAAGGACCAAACACCGCAAAAGCGGGAGAACGGCACGGTCTGATCGGTGAGGACATATCGGTTGTGTGTAATCACTGGACCAAGGCCGGCCACGGCACCGGGTCTTGCAATTAAAATGCAGTCTGATTCGGGACGTAATACGTCTCTGATCGTACTGAGTGATGAATCAAGAGTGAAATGCACGTGGTTTCTTCCACACAAGTCTTCGGATAGAATCAAGATTTTTCTCGTTCGCTCCATGGATAAGGTACCTTAAAGGAAAAACATCAGGCTTAAATGGGCAATGCTGAATTTCGACATTGGTGGAATGGCCACTCTCAAAACGGATAAAAATGCTCGCAAGGTCGAGACCATCAAGCATGTCAGCTTGGCCTTCCCTGGTGACCTCATCATCGAAGTCTGCCGGCTTAAACCATGTGTCCGGTATCGGAACAATGCCTGGTTGGAAATCATCGGTGGGAACATAGCCGATCATGGCCCTGGCTTTATTAGAGTCGCAGATTACGTGGGCCAAGGGCATCAGGAAGGTAACAGTGTTTTCTCTACGTCTGACCTGCATTGAAAGCTCATTGGGGTCAAAATCTTGCAAAAATTTCTTTCCTTCACGGTACAAGGTGCGAATTTTTCTGGCTGTGCCAGGATGGCTAATAAGCTCATGCAGGGACAATGATCCGTCACGATGCATGGAATTCGTATGCCGAAATAAATAAGACAAGTGACGTGACATGGTCTCAAAATGGCTATCCGCTAATGCGGAATCATGGTCCTCTTTGGTCTTGATACCGGATTGCTTTCTGAGGACCTGAGAAATGCACTCAGCAAAAACTCGGCTGTTAGGCTGCACAGAATCAAGAGGCGCGCCGAATGCATCATCGATGACCCTGCTACGAGATTCGTAAGTTCGGGTGTCGCGCGTTTGTTTTCTGTCTTGGTAACCGCCACGCGGTGTGTGCTGTGGTCTGTGGCCACGAGGACTGCGAAAGCCACGGGGTGTGATATCCGCAGAGGCGGAATGATCAGTGCGGCCATGCTTTGAGAACTTTGGTGGCATAAAATAAAAATGAGTTGGTCACCTTTTCGATGTGACGTGCAATACTTGAGTTGAAAACTCATGATGTCTTATGACAGAGGTGTTGTTTTTGAAAGTTCCTTTCCGAACTTTCCTCCAAACCAAAAACTCTCTATTACCTTCTGCTACCCGAGTCAGAATGTATGTCAGTTTTGGATGTTAAGTTCATCCTGTCAGAGTATATGTCAAGATGCCAGCTAACACGCGTTTCTGTGCTTTTCAAATCAAAGTGATTTGTTTGCACTCTTCAACTCATGTTCAACTGCGAAGTACTCAGTTGTTTAAAAAAACGAAACAAATGTACGTTTGAGTCAAGAAGCTTTCACAACATGTTACATCAACATGTCTCACATGTTCAATGTATAATGTCGTGCGAAGTAACTTTTTATGTCCATGGACATTTTCCAAGTTCAAGTGGTGGGTGCGGTGGGTTAAGAAACCCTTTTCCCAAATTTTGTTGACAGAACCTTTTGCAGTGGGGCCATATTGCTTTCAATTCTCCGTTGTGCCTGGAGAAATCGCCTGCTCCGGTGTGGAGCCATTTTCGGTGCAGTTTGTGGATTGATCGCTGGAATCAATTTGGCTTTCTTTTTCCTGTTCATTGGATTCTGTCCCAGTCAATGCCCAGGGTGCGACTGGTGTGTGACTTGGCGCGATTCACACAAGGTTGCCGCAATTGTGGTGCTCTGATCTCAGATATTTGGCTTTTCTTCAACCTTTCAACAGGTGTTTTCGCATTGTTGGATACCCATTCGCAATACAGATTTTTACAGTGCTGTATTGTCTTGTACGTTGACCGTTCTGAAGTCGCCTTGGGGGCAACTGAACTTCGACTGAATTGCCAATTGATCAGTTGGGGAGTCCCGACACCACCTGTGCAGGCTGTGACACCACAGCCCGACACCGCCTCGGACGACTTTTCTTTGTCCAGTGCGGATTTTGCAGACAGCTCAGATGAATCTTAATCTGATGCACGATGTGGGAAAAGGGGAAAAACGAAGGTTTGACACAGCAGTTCATGAACACCTTCAGTTCTGTGAGCGTAGCATGAAGCGCACTGCATACAAATACCCGTGGCAGATGGGTTTTCTTGGTGACAACAACAAGGAGTCATTTCCATTTGGCCCAGTTGGCATGTCACCTTTGTGCAGGGTTCCGGTATTGCAAGATACTGCAGACCTTACAGGACTTGATCGACAGGAGAGCGTTTTTGATGTCCACTGCAGAAAACTGTTTTGCAGACTTCCGAAGATTGAGTGGGATGCACTTTTGGATTCTCAGCGCAATGCAGCGTTAGCCAAGTGGCATCGGATAGTCATGTCAGACCCCATGTCCTTTGAGGTTTGCAGATTTTATTTCAACTCAGTCAATTCTGGTTTGCACAAGGGCCGGCTGCAAGATGATCTCAAGAATATTTTTGCAGGTAAGAGCACTTCGACGCTTCACAGTCGTGCAGGTCCGCTGATGAGGTTCTTGCACTACTGTTCCAACTCGCAGCTCAAGGCCTTTCCAGTGTCTGAGGAGGTTGTGTACGCCTTCATGCAACATGAGGAAGAGAAGGCTGCGCCGACATTCCTTAAGAGCTTCTTGAGTTCGTTTGGATTCGCCTGTCATGTGCTTGGGCTTGTTGGTGCAAGAGCTGTCATTGAGTCCAAACGTGTCAAAGGAATAGCAGACAAATGCTACCTGCTTAAGCGAAAAACAAGGTCGCGTGAACCACTCCGTGTGGATGAACTGGCAACGCTGGAAGAAATCGTGCTTGGCCGCAAAGGCCGCTCACTTCCTGACAGACATGCGGCGGGATGTTTCCTGTTCATGGTCTTTGCACGTGCCAGATTTTCTGATATGCTGAACGTGGGCAAGCTCGAATTTGACCTGAGCAGTTCTGACAAAGGCACACGTGGATATGTTGAAGCCGAGGTCACCAGGTCAAAGACTTCCTTTTCGGTGGACCGCAAGGTCAGGCTGCTGCCTATGACTGCAACGATGAATGGAGTCTCTGGTGAGTCTTGGGGTGAAGCTTGGAAAAGCGTTGTGGCAGAAGCTGGCATTCAGGTTGGACATGGGAAACCTTTGTTGCCGGGCAGGACACCAGATGGGTGGCACCCGCTCCCTTTGACGGCCGAAGCAGCCACCAGTTGGCTACGTAGCCTTCTTCAGACTGGTGAATTTTTCCAAGACTCCAGATTGCAGTTGCTTGGAGCCCATTCATGCAAGTCGACTTGCCTGTCGTGGCTGGCTAAGTGGGGTGCCACTCCAGACATGCGCAGGTTGATGGGCTACCACGTGGCCGATAAGATGTCTACGATGCTGATCTATGGAAAAGATAACACAAGTGCTGGACTTCGTGAAATCGATGTCATATTGGATGCCATTAGAGATGGAGAATTTGTCCCAGATTCAAACAGAGCTGGGATGTTTCCTTTCCTTGAGGATCGTACAGAATCGATGAAGCGTCAGGACGTTCCTGCTTTCGATGGTCACTGCACTGACAGCTCCTCCGAAGACTCCGTGGACGAGGATGAACCCGACCACAATGCCAGGGAGGCCGCGGAAAACGCTGTGCTTGGCAAGTGGGATGGCCTGGTGGAAGTTGACAAGCTTCCTGAGGGAGCACTTTATTTTCGCCACCCGCTATCTCGAACCATTCATTTGCAGGAAGATGAATCTGGTCTCAAGTTTACATGCGGCAGGGACATCACACGCATCTACATTGCACTTCCGTCCAGACCTCAGACACTTCTGCCTGTTTGCAAGCAGTGTTTCAACAAGTTCAGAAAGAGCCCGTTTTGAAGCACACGGTTCATGGCAATGTAGTGGCTTGAGTTTGAACCAAAAATTCCACAGTGCTTGGGATGTCCCTGACTTGAAGTTGTGCCGGCCTCAATTGAATCAGTTGCAACCGAAGACTTCATGTGAAACCATTGCATAGTTCAAAGGAACTTATGAACTTTAACGTGCGTTTTGAGCAAAAGAATTCGGAATTGGCAGCCTTCCTGGAGGAGTTAGGAACATGAGCTTGTGGTGATCTTAGTGCAAACGGGGTGAGTCAATTGAATGCAATGATCGCCCGAACCACGAAAAATGTCTCAGATGCCGTTTTGAAAAGTTGCTGCTCATTCACACGTTTTTCATGAATGTTTCACGTGTGCAAAGTTTTCATGTTTGCTGTGGAGTTTTCTTCAGAATATCGTCGCATCAAAAAAGTTTGTCATCAGGAGACGAACATTAAGGTGCAACTGGTCTGGTGGTAAAGTTGAACAGTTGTTTGGGCATGGCCAATTGAGATCTCTGCAGGAATCACTCGAATGTGTGATGTGCAGGCTCCAGAAACGAGTCGAGATGTTGGGACAAATTCCAGATATATGCTATCAACATGTTTCATGCTTTTATTCGTGTCATGCCCCTTTTATCAAACAATTCAAACGTTGCAATGAATTTCACTTGACAAGTTCAGCAGGTTTCATGTCTTTTATTTCATTTGCTTCCTTTGATTTCAACCAGCGCAAGCGTAAGAGTTCCGTGTGATGGCGTTTGCAGACAGCAAACCCGTGTTCAAAGACCGAACGGTTGCAGCTGGCATTTCAGAGGAAATATTTGAAAGACTTTCTGACGCAAAGCTGGATACTCTGTCGAAGTTTGCGTTTGCAAGCTCTTATGTGCCTGGATCAGGAGACGACACGGAATTTGTGAAGACTTTGAAGTCGGTTTTAGGTCGTGATGCTGATCTTTCTGAGCTTGCATCGTTTCGCAAGTTGCTGCACGAGGCTTACTCGCTTGTCACCCAAGAAATGAAACAGCAGCTTGAAAGGAGTGAAGAGGTTCACACGAGAAAACTCACTCAACCTGAACGTGCAGATTTGTATGAGAGACAGGTGAAACGTATCACAGGCTTGACTTTGAAAGGACCTCTTGAGCCCAGTGATGCGCTCATTGATTCCTTTTGTGCAATGTATGAGGCAAACAGGATTCGATTCGTGGCCTGGGAAAAGTACACAGCCAAAGAGGCTGAGTTGGACAAAGATGTCAAGACTGAGCACCTGTTTGCGATGGACTCCAATGGTAAGTTGAAAGTTGAGGGTAAGAAGCATGACCCTATTGCAGACACATCCACGGAAATCATGTTGCAATATGCTTTGCAAAGGCGAGGCCTGAGCATGGACCAAGCCAACTTGTTGGATTTCAAAATTCATCAGCTGTGGGTGGATCGCCTGATCAAAACAAGGCTTCAAACGCCACCACACGGATATGGAAAGACGACCTTTCGTCAATTGCTCGAAGCCGACAAGAAGTTGTTTGAAGAACTTGCTGATGAGACCCGCCATGGGGTCCAAGTTACAACGAGCGGAAGGCCAATTGACTTGGTTTTCGAAAAGTGCATGAATAAGGCAGAGGTCATGCACTTACTGCAGCCGCTCATGGGAAAGTCCTTTGAGCCGAAAGGAGATGAGAAGACATCTTCGAGTCGTGTTGCACCTTACCAGCAACAGAGTCCTTCAAAAGGGAAGGGCAAGAGCAAAAGCAAGAACAGAGCTTCGCCAAAAATGCCACATGTCTTGTTGAATGGTGGTTGTCGTGCAACGACAAATTCAGGAGATTCAATCTGCTATGGATTTAATCTTGGGACATGTTCAAACAAGGTGACAAACGGTCGCTGTGACCGTGGTTTTCACGTGTGTGCACTGCCGAAGTGTGGTAAGCACCATGCTTTCATCAACTGCCCTTCCAAGAACCAATCAGGTTGACTATTCCCCGAAGGCGGGAGTACGGAGCCTGGTGAACTGCAAAGTGCAGCATCACCGCGAGTTGGGAATCACGAAGGTGATGTTGACGCATTCAAACCCGAAGTGGAGCTGAATGCAAAGCCTCCCGGGTACCTGGCCGAGGCGCCACTTTTTGTTGAAGTTTGCTGTGGTAGTGCACTGCTCAGTGTGTGTGTTTCGAAGGCAGGCTGTGATTCTTTTCCGATCGACTTTCATGGAGACAAGCATCGGCTTTTGTGCATGTTGTTAGCTTAGACTTGCGAAAGAAATCAACTGGGATTTTCTGGAACATTTAGTTTGACACAAAGACCTTTTCTATTTCCATGCTGCGCCTCCTTGCGGCACTGCTCGAGGGCGAGAGATTACCAACTCCCGGATGGGAATTGCGGACCACTTCCACTCGGGTCCGAAGAATTTCCCATAAGTTTCATGGATCACGAGAGTTCTTAGAGGCGATTTGGATTCAGCAAGGACATTAGATGGAGCATTGAGACGACCACGAGCACCTCCCATGGCCGCATACTAATGAAGATGGCAAAGTCGTCTTTGACACTAGTAAAGAAGCGGCCTATCCAAAGCTGTTTTTGCGAAAGGTGTGCAATTGTTCAGGCGGATGGTGCTGGTTTTCTGACATTCATCTGAATCAGGAACTTTTTCTCCAATACGATAAATGTGCATGCAAGAGTGGCGACCAACAAGCCGCCGCGGGGTCGCAAACTGCCACCGCTTTTGTCTGAATTTTTATACAGATGAGCGAACCTTGTTGCAATCAGACCATGATATTTCTGCAGGAAGTAAACTACTACGATGGGCTAAAGCAAAGAGGGGACAAGCTGGTGAAGACAATGCGGTCATTCGAATTTGGAATATACAGATCGAGTTTCCACTTTACTGAATTGGTCAGATTTGTAAATCATCCATTTCATCCGTTTTGTGCCGCCCCTGATTACTTGCTGATGGTTGTGTGCAATGTATTGAGTCGTTCATTTCTGGCAGACGAACTGGCCGACAAGAACCAAGCAATTCTCAATAACATGAATACACGTTGTGCCAGCGCTTTGAAAGGCAAACATCTTACGTTGGTGGAAAAGGATGGATCCAAGTTGATGGGACTGCAGCACCTTTCTGGAACTTTGCTGAAACGAGATCACTTACAGAAGAAGATCTGGTGAAACAACTTAAGTTCCTACAGCATGCGTTGTGGGGCAAAGTTCAATTTGGTCCCGGGGCTCAATACGATCAAGACCTTGGGATATGACCATGCAAGAACTCGCTTACAAAGGTTGGCTTGAAGGCCCTACTCCCGAGATGAGCTGGATGTTTTTGCTGGCACGTAGGTGGTTGCATGTTAGACGCTTTGCAGTCTGGCAGCGGTCCAAATAGACGGCAATTGACGATCTCTCGGAGTGTGGCGTTGGCGTACAAACAGTTTCCTATATTTCCCGACCACAGGAAGTTCTTCATTCTGGTGTTGAAGAGGCATACAGGAGCAGCTTCACGAGCTCTTACCTCCATGTAAGTCTTGAGGCATACAGGAGCAGCTTCACGAGCTCTTACCTCCATGTAAGTCTTGAATGCTGCTAGACAAGAGCTCCCCTTTGACAAGTGCGTAGAAATGCTGGGAGTTGTTCTGGAATTAAGCTGGTCTACAAAGGTGTTGTGAAGGTCTCCAACGAGCCCAGCAGAATGGTAGAGCTCGAGGAATTTTGTCTGGTATTATGAAGTCTGGTAAAGTACGTCCAGTCGACCAGACGGAAATGTGTGCAGAATGTGTGGCAAGACAGCTGTGGCGCAGTGACCTGACGCCTTGTTTAAGGGATATAGCAAAGAAGAGACGACGAAAGCGCTGGAGTAGTTCTTGAACAGCTGGATACCGATGATCCAAGTTTGCCTTGGTACTGCAGAGTACCTTCTCCTTACAATGCTGCTGATTTGGCGTCGCCTGGAGAGTGGAAAGAATTGTTTGCGTTGTTTCCGGATTGCATGAGAAGTTTCTGCTCATGCCCTTCAGTTCCAGAAAGCTTCAGAGGATTGAACAGTTATAAAAAAAAAAGTGCATAGCTGAAGAAAAATGGGGTACAAGGAAGAAAGCTTGCAAAGCAAAGTGCTTTTTCGTTTTGGAATGAAACTCAATGTTTGGATACTTCAAAGAAGGAATCCGAAGGACGTTTGGGACAACGAGAAGTGTCCGTTTGTTCATTCCGTTTGATGAAACTTGAATTCCCCATGTCTCAGCTCTGCGCTCGAAAAAAAAAGACGGCTTTCGAATTGTGATCTCGTGCAGTTTCAGTGATGTTCATATATATACATATGTATATATATGTTTATATCGCGACCTATTCTTACCGTGGCGATAGCCTCGTTTAAGTTTCTAGATTTGTAAGTGCGTAGATAACCCGTCGCTACATGGCGTAAGTTTGAGTTGTTTTTGGTTTGGTTTCAACTCCGTGTCATAAGCAATACTTGAGTTGAAAACTCATGATGTCTTATGACAGAGGTGTTGTTTTTGAAAGTTCCTTTCCGAACTTTCCTCCAAACCAAAAACTCTCTAGTACCTTCTGCTACCCGAGTCAGAATGTATGTCAGTTTTGGATGTTAAGTTCATCCTGTCAGAGTATATGTCAAGATGCCAGCTAACACGCGTTTCTGTGCTTTTCAAATCAAAGTGATTTGTTTGCACTCTTCAACTCATGTTCAACTGCGAAGCACTCAGTTGTTTAAAAAAAACGAAACAAATGTACGTTTGAGTCAAGAAGCTTTCACAACATGTTACATCAACATGTCTCACATGTTCAATGTATAATGTCGTGCGAAGTAACTTTTTATGTCCATGGACATTTTCCAAGTTCAAGTGGTGGGTGCGGTGGGTTAAGAAACCCTTTTCCCAAATTTTGTTCCCGCCCTCCCTTGTTCCCCAAAATTTTCCTTACGTAAACGTCCGCGTACAGGAGTACGGGGGTACAAGGAAGAAAGCTTGCAAAGCAAAGTGCTTTTTCGTTTTGGAATGAAACTCAATGTTTGGATACTTCAAAGAAGGAATCCGAAGGACGTTTGGGACAACGAGAAGTGTCCGTTTGTTCATTCCGTTTGATGAAACTTGAATTCCCCATGTCTCAGCTCTGCGCTCGAAAAAAAAAGACGGCTTTCGAATTGTGATCTCGTGCAGTTTCAGTGATGTTCATATATATACATATGTATATATATGTTTATATCGCGACCTATTCTTACCGTGGCGATAGCCTCGTTTAAGTTTCTAGATTTGTAAGTGCGTAGATAACCCGTCGCTACATGGCGTAAGTTTGAGTTGTTTTTGGTTTGGTTTCAACTCCGTGTCATAATTGAGAAATTGATCTTCGAACAAGATCTTCGAGGTGTCTCCAAGGATTGGCTTAAGGGTTCAAGAACAGTGCCAAGGGACGTGAGTCCGGGCGTCGCGAAAAAGAAAAACAATAGCAACCCTGTGAGCCGAGAGATTGCAGACACAAATTTTCTTGAGACGAAAATTTACTCCTCGAAGTATAGCATTGCAAAAACATAATCTGAAATGTCTTCACTGAAAAATGTTAACACATTGTGCGGCTCTGACAACGTTTCAATGACCCATGTAGTTAAGAATGCCTTATGTTTGAGTAACGACCGGAATGGCGGGTGCGTATCAACATTCTCAAGGTTGCCAGTGGTTATAGATGACACTAATTGGTCTGGTTTAGCTGTTGACTTAGTAAGTGGATCAGCCAGACAATATTCACTTGCAATGTGACTCAGGTCATCCAAGTGTCCGGTGTTACTCTCGTGTCTCAACATTTGTATTAAATGATGGGTCTCCTTCTGTTCAGGTAGGTGTGTTGTCTGAGCTGTGGTGACTAAATTGTTTGCGTCAGTTCGGATGTGAATGGGGACGATCTCACCACTGATGTCGGCCCAAAGTGCACGCAAAAACAAACAGGTTCCAAAACATTTCATTAAAGCATTGAATTCGGCAACAGTAGTGGATTGTGTTGTAGTGGTTATCTTATGACTCTCATAGTCAATAATCGATCCACGAGTTGCTGAGTTGGAACCGTCTATACGGTGTGCTTGCGTGTCGTAACCGGAATTGCGGTATGTTCCCTTGGAAGGCAATTTGCGATCTTCGGCTAAGAAAATGACATGAGCACGCTGACTAGACTTATCACTGTTGTTACGGTAAGATGCATCAGGCATGCCAAGGATACGCTGAGAACCCTTCAGAGGCCAGAATCTACCATCCACATATTGACTCTTGAGGGTTCGAACAACCTTGTTGATTTCCCTGACATCACCTATGGTCGGACTAGCAGTGGCGGAGGCACAACGCGAAAACTTGTAACAGATGTGGACCTGTGTCCTACTCTGCAACCAATTGAGCTGTCCAAGAACTGATCGATAAGCGGTATGAAGTTGTGGATTACATTGAATGTTATCCTTCAAGGACTTATCAATCTTGACTTCTTCAACTGCATCGACAGCAAGTTTCTGGTCAACAGAAATATATGGTCCATATTTGTCATGAGTCTTCCACTTGATGCGTTGTCCTACAAACATAATGTCATTTTTATCTTCTGAACCGACAGCAAAGTTCTTACGCAGACTGGACAAGACCTTGGACTCAAACACCTTGTCGCCTGCCATGAACAGGTCATCGACATGAAGACAAATAAAACCATGTGGTAGGCGTCCTTGGGCATTGTTTCGGGCTACCGGATCCATAAGATGGTCAATTGCTTCAGAGATGGTTACCTGTTCAGTATTTACACTTCGAGGTGGTTGGTAGGTCCTTGTCTTAGAAGTACTGTCATACAGAACATATGTACATCTGTCTGCGCGTGTGGGAACAAGTCCACAGTCAAGTAAGGCTTTGTCAATGATCTGCCACCAACGGCGTGGCGCATCATTAAGACCGTAACCAGGTTTCTTAAGCCTAGCACCAATGTAAGGTGGATAACCATACTCAGGTGGAATCTGACAAATGATGTCTCTAGTTTCATCATAGGCTTCACCTTGGAGGAAAGCGGTCTTTAGGTCCATATGGTACAAGTCCCAGTGATAGTTCGCAGCCAGCTGTGTTGCACATCGGAAACCTGCTCGTGAAGCTGCTGGACTATCGGTTTGCTGGGTGTTCTTCTGTTTGTCTTGAAAACCCTTAAGGACCCATCTTGCCTTACGTTGAGAGTTTCCTGAAAGGAAACTCGATTTTATTTCCTCACGCAACTTCCGTTTTTTGTTTGTGCTTTGTTTCTTGGACAAACCAAAAGAAACAACAACCAAACAAAAAACTCAAACACATGAGCACATGCAAATAGCAACACTTGTTCAACTTACAACGTGTTGCGTTTTTCACTCAAGGGTAGGGAGGGCGGGTTGTCCCAAAATTTTGACAAAAGACTTGTCAAATGGGGACTTAGTTAGCTCTAGATAGCAATGGTTGTCCATTTCGTGTTGTCACCTGAGAAACATAGCAGTGGAAGTGCAGAGGATACAACTGGTGCTCTATTGGAAGGGTACGAAGTTGTCGGAGATTCTAGGCTGCTCACTGGACAGGAACAATCAGATGTTGGACAGCCATGCAACACTGGTTTCGCAGATGTTTCGCAGAGTTTGGATTTTTCTTTAGGCATGCATGGAAACACTGAAAACTTTTTTGGAGACAGAAATGATGACGATCTTTGCAATGCAGGTGTGTACGAAGAGAGCGTTTCTTGTGAACCATCTTTGGCTAGGTCTTCAGAACTTGGTGATGAGTTTCATGGCACTTTCCCTGAAACGTTTGAAACAAAACCAGACCCTGCAGTTTTTGACACTGCAACAGCTGTCGAAGTCGCTGCACGCTCAATTCCTGCGGAGACCTTGGAGCCTATTTGGGAGCAAGGGATTTGGGGCGTCATATTTGGCAACAAGCAGCTCATTGATGTTTATAAGCCTTTTGGAAGTTCATTGAAGAGACCAGTCGACACGTCAATTGTGCAAGGTAGCAGTGGTAGCTCAGAACCTTCTTCAACGAGGGCAAAGACTGGGATTCATTCTGACCTATCGTATCACGATGTTGTTCAGGACAAATTGGACATTCCATGGCAAGAACAGCGTGATGCTGATCTTCAGAGCTCAGTCAAGTTCTGGCTTGCGCTTGTAAACAGATGGGACACAGCTTGCAGTTTGGTTGGAAGCATGTTACAGTTGGCAGTAACTAGCAGGGTATTTGGAATGTTTGCACACCTGTTTGCTGGAAGGTCACCTGTCACCATACGGAAGAGGGGCTACAGCATCATGCGGCTGTGCGACTACCTCGAGAACAAGGGGAGCGCCTTTCCGTGCAGTGAGGTTGAGTTTTATGATTTTCTTTGCAGTGAACAGTCTTCAAAGGCCCCGCAGTCCAGACTCAAAGGGTACATGCAATCCATGAACTTTGTACTTCACGTGATGTCAGTGCATGAAGTGGAACCTTTGACCAGGAGTGCAAGGTGCAAAGGAGCCTGCTTAGGTGAATTTCTAAAAGAAAGGATCCAGGCATCTCCTCTCAAGGTATGTGAACTCAAACGCATCCATGAGCTGCTCTACACTTGCGAGGACCTGTGGGTATGTTTGTTCTGCGGTGCACTACTCATGGCAGTTTACTGTAGAGCCCGTTGGGGCGACCTCATGCGTGCAGAGAGTGCGATTACTGACTGTGATCGCCACGGCAAGCTGCAGTTCCTTGAGGCGAGGACCGGACGCCACAAGACAATGAAATCACAGATGCACCGCCACCAATTTTTGCCAATGGTGGCACCATGTCATGGAGTGGATGGCAGGGATTGGGGTTCAGTCTGGATCAAAGTTCGAGACACCATGGGATTGGAGTGGCCACCCAAGGGACTCATCATGCCTGCGCCTGGTCTTCAAGGCCAGGCCACCAGTAGGCCGTTGGAAACGCAAGAGTGTGCAGCTTGGCTGAGGAAATTGGTTGGGAGCCCAGATGATCCAGCTGGAAGGCGCATTTCTAGCCATTCATTAAAATCAACTTTTCTTTCATATGCTGCCAAGCGTGGCATTGGCATCTCTGAACGATTGCAGCTTGGTTATCACACAAGCAAGTTCGAGATGGGCATGGTTTACAGTCGTGATGGTGCCGCCGCTAGCTTACTGGTGCTTGAAAATTTGATCAGAGATATCTCTTCTGGCCTTTTTGACCCAGATGACACTAGGAGTGGTAGAATCAAGCCGCTGGATCAGCCACCAAAACATGCAGGAGACGGCGACGTGATTGACATCAAGGACGAGTCAGAGGTCGTCGAAGTGTCCAGTGCTGAGAGCAGCTCTGATTCTGATTCAACTTCTAGTGAAGAGGAGAGACCAAAGTGTGTCAAACATTCACCTGTTTTTCAACCTGCGGCTGCACCACCTGGTTTTGTCATGTGGCAGCATCGGAAACTCAAGACGCTGCACCTGATGGCAGTGGAGAATAGCAGGGTGTTTGCATGCGGCAGGAATGCCGGGGCCTTACACGAGAAACTGGGCAAAGCCCCTGAATTTGATACACCGCTTTGCTCCTTGTGTTTCAATAGATCAAGGGACTGAACATGTTTCCTTTCCATTTTGTTTCAAGTTTCATGCAACCGGTTGTGCCTCGAGAGTTTCCTGATTCAGTTCGAAGCTTGTCGAACGTGCGCACAGCTGGCGTTTTTCACACACCTGACAGAGCTGCTCCTCCCTCAGGAGAAACTTTAGTGTGCAGGCGTTTATACTTGAAACATTTTTCACATGTCAGTTCACTCTCATTTTTGTGAAGCTTTGGACGGAGTTGCATGTAGCTGACGTCTCATCTGATACTTTGACACATCCAGTGAAGAAAAAACAGCACGCTGATTTGACGTGTCCTTTTGGAAATTGGGAGGTCAAGGCATGAGAGTCAGTGCATGTGCAGTTGATCACATTTCAGATTCAGCATTTTTGTTTCAATGGTGAACGCTTGGGTTGAATGCAACGAGTTCACAACCAACAGAGGCTTGCGAGTGCTTTGAATTTCGTTGGAGTTGTGCTCAACGAAAGAGAGAGCGCGTAGGCTTGACCAAAGGAGCAATGACAATTTTCTCCATACGTCCATGCTTTATTTCAGGACTTAATTTTTAAGTTTATCACTGCCAGAGTAACCATCGGTCAATGCATCGTCAACTTCAGGTAGGTGACTTCAATAAGCTTTCCGACCTGAGAGTTTTACCAGCCATGAGTCTCATTGAGTCCACGGCAGCCTTCAGACAGAGGTGTGATGAGATCACGACTGATGGGTCGCTGAGAGTTGCGTTAGATGGCCAAGCCATCCGGACTCACAGTGCAATGGCTTTCGCGATGGGCACCCCACAGATGACACCGACTGAAGATCAGTTTGGAGCCTTAGCCCAAAGGGTATTTGGGGGTGCGCCCAATGTAGGGCAGATGAGCGCCATCAGGCGCATTCACTTTGAAAGCACTACACTGGTGATTTCAACAATACGTGAGAAAGTGACCAGTGAAGGAGCTGAGAAAGGTGATGCCATAAAGAAGATTCCCCTTGCAGAGAAGAAACAGAGGAGAGAGGATCAGCTTGCTCGGCTGAATGGAATCTCCATGGTTGGGGAATTAGACCCAAGCCACGCTTTGCTTGACTTAGCAAATCAGATGCTGGAAAGCGGAGCGATCATGTGGCTTGCTCCTTCAAAATGCAGCAAGCGCGACGACGAGGTGCAGATGTCCCTGAAGGATTCAAAATCTTCAGTCCAGATAGAAAACTCTCAACTCAGAGTAGGACCAAGCGTTGAGGTCATTGAGGCCGAATGGAACTCCGAACTCAAGTATCAATGGTGCATGATGCGGAGGGGATTGGCCTTCGACCAATGCCGTGTTCTCAGTTGGAACGTGCATCAGCATTGGGTCAACTACATGCTGAACTTGTTGAGCAGGCCAGTCAACCCGGGGTTCCAACAGATCAAGCTTGATCAGCTGGTCCGAGCCGATAGAGAGCTTTGGACACTACTTGCACAAGAAGTTTCAGGGAGCTTGAAGATGGATGGGAACGAGATTCCACTGGACAAGCAGGTCACCAGACTTGCAACAGACCCAAGGGTCACCATGCTGTTGTTGCCGCTGCCAGGAAACCAAAGAGCGACAGAAGCGCCTGACAAGCCAAGGCCAAATCCTAAAGCTGGCCCTGTGAAACCTGCTGCAAAGGTCTCCTCAAAGCGCAAGACCCGCGCAGAGCGAAGTTGCCCTGAAGAACTGAAACAGTACGAAACAAAGGTTGCGGCAGGTCAGATTTGCTGGAACTACAACATGAAAGATGGTTGCCAACTGTCCACAAGTGGAAAGCCCGCAAAGTGCTCCCGTGGCTTGCACTTGTGCGCATGCTGTCACAAGGCGGGGCACTCTTTGGTTGTTTGTAGAGAAGCAAAAAAGGGTTGACAAATCAGCCCCACTGGACCGCCTCTCAAGTTTCGTAAAGAGGGGGAGGAAAGTCCAGGTGGGAGAGCAGAACGCGGTGCACTTCCAACGCAGAGCGCTGGCAAAAGCCACCATGCACCTGATGTTTCCACCATCTCCAAAAAGGAGGACCTTATGTCAGATGGGGAGCCGCCTCAAGGCGATAACCCACCTACTTTCACTGCAGAATCCGAGGAGGTGCGAAGCAGCAGCACTCGAAATCAATTCAATTGCAACAGAAATTTTTCAGGCATGTCTTTGGGAGATTTGTATGTCATTGAAATTTGTGCTGGTTCAGCAAGGCTTTCTAGAGTCGCTCATGAATGTGGTTTCAGGACGATGGCCATCGACCATTCAGCCGCGAGAACATGCGGATTTCCAATTTGCGTTTTTGATTTGACAGATGCAGACGACCTGGAGTCACTCATACGTTTCATATAAGAGTCAGCTGACTCCATTCTGGGAATTTGGATTGCACCTTCATGTGGAACATGCAGCAGAGCAAGAGAAAAACGCTTGTTTTCTTTGGAGAAAGCAGGTATTAAGACACCGATCCCTTTGAGGTCCACTGTACAACCTGACCAACTTGATGGACTTAGTGGACTCAACAAAGTCAAAGTCGAGAAAGCCAACATGCTTTATGAATCGGTTTATACTGTTTCTGCACTTGCATGCTCATTACATATCTTCCTGGCGATCGAGAACCCAACCAACTCACACTACTGGAGTACCAGCCCCATGCAGAGGCTTTGCAATGAGCATGAACATCACTATGTGACATTTCATAACTGTGCTCATGGTGGTGACAGAGATAAGTCCACCTCTTTGTGGGTGAACGATAGCTGGCTTGACTCCCTGGCGCTCCTTTGTGACAAGAAACACCAGCACAAACCTTGGACCACCACCATGACTAATGGGAATGTACGCTTTGCAACAGCAGAGGAAGCGGCATATCCCATACTGCTTTGTGAAAGAGTCACCCATTGCCTGCGTGACAAGGCATTGCAATTGGGTGCAACGGCGCCCGACACGCTCCTCGAGCAAGCAGAAGGGCCTGACCCTTCACCCCTTTCAAGACTGGTACTTGGAGCACTCCCTCGAGGACACAAAGTCAAACCTTTGGTTGCAGAGTTTGGCACATACATGAAGGTTTTTGCTGACCCACAGAAGCCGAAAGACCTTGACAAGCTTCTGGCCACACTTCCAAAAGGTGCCAAACCAGTCTCGCGCCACATTGTTACAGGGGGTGATCTCCAGGCTGCTCGACAAGATGCTGCGGCTGTTTTTCTCAATGTCGATGACAATTCAACCGTCGAAAAGATCCACATTGGGATCCCCAGCGAACCAGATGACTTCGTTCAGAGAGCAATTACAGCAGGTCACCCGAGAAGCTTGGAACAGCACCTGGACCCGCAGATCAAGAGCATGATACATGCCAACTTTGTGGCAGACCCTTCCATAGTTGCTAAGAAACGTGCCGACTTCTTCAGGAAGTATGTCAAACGAGCGTCAGAGCTGTCGAAACAAGAAGAGGAGCTCAGGAGCAAAATGCCTCAACATGTTTTGGAGCTTGTGGGAAACAAACGCTTGGTGCTATGGAAGGAGATCCTCAATGACTACGGATACCCAGATGTCAACCTGATCGATGACATTGCAGCTGGCTTCAAACTCAGCGGGTGGATGCCAAAGTCACACGTCTTCAAAACAAGGACCAAGAGGCCTTCGATGGCCTTGAGCACTTTGAAGGGCCTTGCAAAGGCTCTGAATACAGCCACCCTCCGAAACATGGATGTCAGACAAGACTCCGACCTGGAAGCAGCCACGTGGGATGAGACGGAAGAGGAGGTCAAGAAAGGCTGGATATGGTTTGACAATGGTGAGCCCGACGGTTCGCAAAAGTTTGTGGGAAGACGCTTTGGCATCAAACAATCCAACAAGATTCGAGTCATCGACGATTGCTCTTGTTGTGGGCTGAATTGGACGGTCGGCTTACATGAGAAGTTTCAGCTGCAGTCCATTGACATACTAGCCTGCATCATGGCTGACGCTTTCAGGAGCACGGGAAGTGGTCCCTTCCCTTCTATTTTTGGCAGGTGCTACGACTTGAAAAGTGCGTACAAGCAATTTGCAGTTCATGGCTCTGACAGGGAACACCTTCGCATGGCTGTCCGGTCACCAGTGGACGGCGCTGTCAAGCTGATAGGCTTCAACGCCTTGCCTTTTGGGGCGATTGGTAGCGTTGCAGGTTTTCTACGGGTGAGTCTTGCAGTCTGGTTTATAGGCATAGTTGCACTTCAACTTTGCTGGACGGTGTTTTACGACGACTACAGTGTGCTGAGCCGAGAAGAATTGCTAAACAGCACTTCCTGGAGTGTCGAAACTTTGCTGGACCTCTTGGGCCTGGCGTTTGCGAAAGAAGGAAAGAAGTTCCTACCTTTCAACCACAAGTTTAAAATGCTCGGCCTGGAGGTAAATCTGGAGAATTGCAAAGACAACTCAATGACCATCGGACACGCTGAAGAGCGGAGGTCAGAGCTTGTGGCCAAGATCAACGACATCTTGGCAGAAGGCTGGTTGGATGCAAAGGAAGCCGAAAGGCTGCGTGGCCGAATGATTTTCTTCGAGTCCTATGCTTTTGGCCGGTTGGCCAACAGTGCGATAAAGAACATTGGAAGATTCTGCGTTGAAAGCTCGGGCAGGAAACGCCTTGATTCGTCAATTCAGGGCAGCCTTCTCCTTCTCCGAGACAGAGTTTTGGAAGCCCCTCCAGTGGCAATAGGCCGACCTCTTGGGGATACCTGGATCATCTTTACAGATGGAGCTTGCAATCCTGAATGCAAAACTGGAAGCGTTGGAGGTCTGATACTATCCCCTCAGGGTCGTTGCCTTTCCTTCTTTAGTGACGTCGTGCCGGAGGACATAACTACAGAGCTGTTCAAATTTTCCTGCAATCCAATTCACGAATTGGAACTGATGCCTGTGCTCATAGCTTGTTTGGAATGGGGATCCCTTTACAAAGGGGCACTCATAGTTTATTACATCGACAACGAGTCGGCAAGGATGGCCCTAGTGAAAGGGAGCGGAGAGACGCATTTTGCCTCCCACCTTATCAGCGACTTTGTCAGCCTAGAGGCTGAACTACAGCACAAGACCTGGTTCGGAAGATGCCCAAGTCACAGTAATCCATCAGATGGTGCAAGCAGGCTCGATCTAACCTGGGTCGAAAGCAAGGGTGCCTGCCGAACCAATATCGATTGGGAGAGGCTGAGGCATCGCATTGGTCTAGGTGGGGAGATGCCGGAGATGCGATGACTACGCCCCATCTGCTGGATGAAAAAGATTGTGCATCTTATTTGAATTGCCGAATACCAGTTGTGCAATTTGTTTTATTTTTCAACTTGGAATTTCCGAAGTTTCCGGCGAAGAGACAATCCGATCTCTCGTCGTTTCATCATCACACCAAATGTGACGCGGAGTTTGTTTCACACGCGTGCACATACATATGCGTAGATATGTTTTTGTTTATAACATATACGACGCGCTCGCGTATGCGCACTTGCGATACGTGCGGTCCCCACCTTTGTGCTATGTGTTTTGCTTTGTGGAGTGGGAAATAAGTTGAGAGTTTCCTGAAAGGAAACTCGATTTTATTTCCTCACGCAACTTCCGTTTTTTGTTTGTGCTTTGTTTCTTGGACAAACCAAAAGAAACAACAACCAAACAAAAAACTCAAACACATGAGCACATGCAAATAGCAACACTTGTTCAACTTACAACGTGTTGCGTTTTTCACTCAAGGGTAGGGAGGGCGGGTTGTCCCAAAATTTTGACAAAAGACTTGTCCCACCCAACACAAGGTGTCTCCCACCCTGTCTTTTGTATGCCTATCCCCGAGCCTAAGATGCTAAGATGCCGGAGATGCGATGACTACGCCCCATCTGCTGGATGAAAAAGATTGTGCATCTTATTTGAATTGCCGAATACCAGTTGTGCAATTTGTTTTATTTTTCAACTTGGAATTTCCGAAGTTTCCGGCGAAGAGACAATCCGATCTCTCGTCGTTTCATCATCACACCAAATGTGACGCGGAGTTTGTTTCACACGCGTGCACATACATATGCGTAGATATGTTTTTGTTTATAACATATACGACGCGCTCGCGTATGCGCACTTGCGATACGTGCGGTCCCAACCTTTGTGCTATGTGTTTTGCTTTGTGGAGTGGGAAATAAATTTCTGGAAGTTACCGTCTTTGTCTTTCTTTACGGTAAGAACCCATCTTCCGGCAACGAAATTCCGAACTCTCGTTTTTCTCATATCAACAAGATCAAAAACTTCATTGTCAATCCATGATTGGCATCCAGCCTTCTTTGCATCTAAAAACTGTTTGGCAAGTTGTCTCTTCTCTTGCTGAGTGGCTTCCTTTCTCTTCTTGCCAACAAGATAAGAAAATTTGTCTTTCATGGAATATAATGTCATGAAAGCCTTGTCTTCTTCATTAATGCCGTGATATTCTTCAATGATATCAGATCTAGTCTTACGGCATCTATTGCGTTGTCTCTCCGAGACAACGGAATAAGACATACCAATGGAATTAGAAGATTCGACACTGCTCAGAGCTACTGGTGAACCATCAATCAATCTAGGCACAGAGAATGAAGCAGTGTTACTGCACAACTTTTGTTCCTGTGACAGGAAACACCATTTTGAATCATCAATAACAAGATCATTATAGTCAAGAGTCTCATCGGTATCTGTTGAACCATAAGGAATTGTTTCATCTGTGTCCTCTTCAGGTTCTTCTTCTTCTTCTTCTTGTGGCTCTCGCTGATCTTGAGTGTCTGGTTGCGGATCATTCTCTGGCATTGGCGATGGATTAAAAGGTTCATCTCCGTCTAGCGGAAGTATCGGCGGTCCATTGTGTCCGGATGGTGCGGCATCTGGATCAGGCTCGTCATCATCAAAGTCATCAGGCACGGGATCATGCTTGGGTTTCTTCGGCTTCGAAGCGTTTGGAGCGACTACAGCGGGTTGTGTGGTCGCGTTTGGTGTGACTGATGGCTGTGTATCACCCCCCAAATGGTTACTAGGCTGAAATTGGGTTGAAGCCGTAGGAGGCATTTGTCGAGATGGTCGAGCCTTTGTTGCTGGTGGTATCGGCGGATCACCTGGTGGACGCTTTGTGCTCTGTGTCATTGGTGTGTCGTCAATATTTGGTGGTATAATCGTATTGGGCACAATAACTGTATCTGGAGCAACAGGAAGGCCAGGGGCTCCAGGAAATGGTGGTTGAGGATGATCAGGTGGTGATGATGGATGAGGAGGCAGATCTGGTGGATCATCTTGTGGTGAATGCATCTCATCGTCAGGCACATCATCACTTGGTCTTGGTGGTGAATGAAATGGTGTGTGAAACTGATCATCATCAGGAGGAAAGCCGGGATGCGGCGTGTGCGGTTCGTCAGGCATAGGAACATCTGGAAGTTGTGGTGATGAAGGTGGTGTGTTAAGATGTTCAGGCGGATGTTCATCATCTTGGTCGTTGTTCTGCTGAGGTGGAAGACCCGGTGGAGGGTCGATGTTGGTGTTCTGTTCAGGAATGTCATCTGTATTATCTGTAGGAATACTTCCATCATTGTTCCAAAACAATATTGCTGACCAGTGGCTAGCAATCAGCTGCGACATATCTCTTGGATGTACGCGCAGAAAAACGTGTGACGCATCTTTCTTCTTCCAAAGTAAGAGTACGCCGTGTGTGTGTGGCGGTATTCAACTCGCAATGACTGAAAACTACCACGAAAAATGATTGCGTTGTCAAACATGGACGTACTTAGATACATCTGTCTGACATGTGATACATCTTGTTGTGCTTCGATCTGAACAGGATGATAAACATTACCAGCGGGTAGAGCATTAATGCGGTTGAGCAGGCGTTTCGTGTAATAGTCACGTACTGGAAGACCCTGTTCGTACAAGTCAGTTGCCAACACCGGATGCTCGGATGCCGTAAGAGCGGCAAGCTGATTTTGCACTCCTCGCAGTTCATCGAGATTCAAGTCTTCCAGCAGGTCTACCGCAAGTGACAGCTGCGATGGATAGAGAGCCCGTGAATTTCCTAATGGAAGGATGCATCTGATCAAAGTGCTGCAAAATCGGTATGGATAAACTTGTGCCAACTTCGTTCTTGATCCATATCCTGGAGCACTACCTTCCAATGGTTGATGATAATGTTTTGGATCATTTTTGGATTTACTATTACATCTCTTGAAAGCTGGATTCAAGACTCCCTCAGGAAAATTGTGAAGTAAGGATGTTGGTTTGTAGTAATAGTATCCATTTGGGTCTCTCATACCAAAGGCGCACATATCTAATGTTCCATAGGTTACGGTATGCTTCAGGAGAAGGCGTTGAAAGTGTTTGGTAAACCAAATCTTGGAAGTCGCAGGATTTTCAATGATGAAAAATCTACCGTGTTCAATCTGATAAAGAGCGACTCTTGCACAAAATTCTACCATGGGGAGATACTTTTTCCTTTTCTGATAAGTATCGGCAGGATCATTAATATTCTGCATTTGACTCCATGGTCCACAAACAGGTGCCATGTGGATGATTTTTGGCTGTTGTCGCTCAATGACTTCCATTGCCTTTCGCCGGCCTTCGGCAGTGAGCAAGTCGTAACCTGTGCGGAGGTCTATTGGAGCGCCGACTCGAAGCCCTTGCATTGCTGCCGCTTGACTAAGCTTGGCAGAGCCGCTAAACAGCTCAAGGAAATCTAATTTTCCGGTCATAGCTGGCTCCCATGTATAACAACCATATGTAATACCTTCAGGACCTGACTGAATGGCATCGTGTTCTATGATGTTATTTGCATGGTCATCTGAGCGGCATGTGGACTTCACTGCTGTACAGGCGCCCTTGGCCGAAGATTCGGCACCGGCGGCAGCTTTGGCCGAAAAGTCGGCACTGGCAAGTGCAATTGGTTCTAAAGGAATGTCGATATCCTCAATAGGATTATGGTCTTTTCTTATTTTACTGATGTTAACCTTCACGATTCTGGTTCCTAAATCAACTCCAACCATGCTGCCATCTACGGAAACCAACTTTCCTTTTATCCATTTTCCTCCATGTGAACCGTCTGATTTGATTTTTGATTTGTCTTCGGTCCAATAGTAAACTTTATCTCCAGGAAAGAATGGTCCATCACTAAGTTGAAGTTTACTTGCAATATCTCTTCGAAGGTCATCAGATTGTTTTGCCTCTAGAAACTTTCGCATCGCCAGTGACCTTAGTGCTTCAATCTGTCTCTCAGGAGCAGGGGCCTCAGTCGTGAGCTGTGCTGGATTCATGAGCTCAATCGCCGTAAGATCGGCAGGCCTTCTACCAAATGCTAATTCAATAGGAGTGACACCACCGAGTGTTACCATGGTGTTCCTTGAAATGCAGGCTTGTCTCAACAACTGTTTATAAGTAATGTTAGCAAGCAATGGATCATCTTTCAAGGAAATTAGCATTAATGAGACCTGTTTCTTAAACATGCGAATGGCTGCCTCAGCTCGATTTGGCCATGGTGTTCCTGGTCCTAGAGAGATTGGCCTGATGCTGTGCCGGTTGTAATAACTCTCCATCTCAATGCCCATAAAAGCTTGATCGGCAACAATGTATTTTGGATTCAGCTGATAAGTTTCAAAGTATTCTTGAAGATGAGAAATCGTCACCGGATCAGATCTGTTTTGAACTACAAAAGCAGTAGTCAAAGAGGTTGCACCGTCATACATAAGTAGGAATTGAAGTTTTGACTGAGGATTGATAGGAACTTCTCCATGATCAATGAAAGTAAGTTCACCAAAGACTTCACTTCGGATTCCTGAAACCTTAGCTCTCGATGGTGCAATCCTGGCAGTGGAACATGTGTCACATGATTTGGTAATCTGATCAAACTTGTCATAAATTTCCTTTGGTAACTTCAGAGCCGATGTTCTTCTCTTGAATTGTTCAGTGGTCATGTGATAATGCTTCAAATGTAACTTGAGAAGTTCTGTGGGTGATTGAAGCTTATCATGAATTCTCTGAAGTGCTGGTGACAAAGTTCCCTTAGGTGACGGTTCCTTTTTCTCTTCAAGTTTTACTTCAACCTTTGGTTCCGGCTTGACTTCGGATTCTTCTTCAATCTGAGGTTCCCGACGTCTTGGGATACCGTCCTTTGAACCGGAACTTGGCCCAGAGGCCACCATTGGCTCTTCATCGGGATCAAAAGGTTGAGCTGGTACTTCTAACTTACTATCAGGCTGAATTGTTTTCTTGACAATCTTCTT